TCCCCATCACCCCCCCCGTGCTAACAAGAATCACCACAGCGACAGAGGAGCCGTTTGTATCGCTTCCAAACCGTTTGCTTCTGAGACTTGCAAGCAAAAATGTTTCGCAGGTGCCACCGAGGCTGGTTTTGAATGTGCTCCAAGGGGAAGGAAGCTGCAGCGAGGGATGGGAGAGCCCTTTGCTCCCGCGGGGGGAGGCCGGAGGCAGCGGTGAGGGCAGCAGCAGGCGGAGGGGCTTGGCCTCTCGCAGGGCGCAGTCGCCTGTGTGGGACGAGCAGCCGTGGCTCTCAGCTCGGCTGGCGGCGTGTCGGTGTGCCCGCCACCGGGACTGCTCGGGGAGGAGCCCTGGGGAGCTCAGGCACATGGAGAGCACTGCCGCACGCCATCGGCAAGCGCCCGGATTTCGGTGCAATGTGCTTCTGTATAGATACGTGCAGAGAGACATTTTACACCTGCCTGTAAGAAGTATTGCCAGCTGTACTAAATATCCGTGGTCCTCAGAACAGCTCAAGATGGGGCAAAACAGCAAAGAAAGAGGGTGAAGGGAAAGCAGGCAAAGGCAAGAGGAAAGGCCACCACGTTGCCTTCCCCTCCACCCCAAACACAGCTAGTCCTGTCCCCTGCTCCGTCTGCCGCGGCTCCGCTCCCCCCGGGTGGCCTCGCTGCTCGCAGGGACACTTGGTGTTACCGACAGCAGTGGCGAAGCCACAGGGATGAACTCCCAGGCAAAGCCCACGCTGACCGGGGCGGCTGGCAGGAAGGGCTGGAGCTGGCATATCAATTTTTCCAGGCTGGTTAGACTCTGTAACAGGGACGCAGAGTTTTCAGCTCAGAAAGTGGTAAATTAGGATTAAATATTTGATGCCCTTGTGCAATGACCTTTGGCTTCCAAGCTCGGAAATGACTGTGCAGGTAACCAAGGACTTGTTACTGCACCTACAGCACATTTGGGATACTTAATGCTTTAAGATACATGTTAAAATACTCTCGGTGTCCTATGAATGCCTTCCTCCCCAGGGGCCGTTACCTTTTCATCCTGCCTTTTGCAGGATATGTCACTTCAGTACTTTTAACTTCTGGCTGTGCTGGTGGGATTCTCCACAAACGGGCACCTTGCTAGTTGTCAGCTGTCTTCCTCCCCCCAGCAGTCCCCCAGCATGTTTTGAACTCACTGTCCAAATTTAATACCATTTAATAGCAGCAGAGATTGCTTCAAGAGATAAAATCCCTATAAACTTTGTGAAAAGAGGCAACTAGGACAGGGAAGAAAAGCCCCTTCGAACACCCCGGGGAGAGGAGGGGGCCCAACCTCTATAAGACACCCGAGAGTCCACAGCTGCCTGCACCCTGAGGACAGCGCTGGCGAGGGAGGGTCGGGCTGCGAAAGCCCGGTGGAAGCTGCAATGCTGCTTTTTTTGCCGGGGCCAGAACGAGATGGGTTGGGGTTTGTTGGCTAAT